GGTTGGGGTGCTCAAGCTGCTTTTGATGATCTCAGACCCGCTCTTGGGGGGTCCGGACCTTCTCTTTGGGGTCTTGGGCTGCTCTTGGAGTGGGTTTTGGGGGGCTGGGGTGGTTTTTGAGGGGCTCAGAGCCGCTTTTTGGGGTCTTGGAGCCTTTTGGGTGGCTCAGACCTGCTCTTGGGGGTCTCGGACCTATTTTTGGGGGGCTCTTTGGGGTCTTGGGCTGCTCTTGGAGTGGGTTTTGGGGGGCTGGGGTGGTTTTTGAGGGGCTTGGAGCCGCTTTTAGGGGTTCTTGGAGCCTTTTGGGTGGCTCAGACCTGCTCTTGGGGGTCTCAGACCTATTTTTTGGGGGCGCAGGCTGCTTTTGAGGGTTGCGGGGTGGCTTTTGGGAGTCTCAGACCTACTCTTGGGGGGCTCGGACTTGCTCTTGGAGAGCTCCGACTCACTTTTGAGGGGCTAGGGGCTGTTTTTGGGGGGCTGGGAGGTGATTTTGGGGTCTCTCCCAGTGTCTGACCAGTCCCCTTTTCCCGCCCCCGCAGCATCTCGTCCCTCGCCGGGGACGTTCCCGTGGCCGAGAAGAAATACAAACCCCTCAACACGGCGCCCAACGCCACCAAGGAGATCAAAGTCAAGATCATCCCACCCCAGCGTGAGTCGGGGGGGCCTTTTAGGGACACTTGGGGGTGTCCCTGGGACACTTGGGGGTCTCTGGGGATGCCTGGGAGCCGTTTTGGGGACACCTTGGGGTCTCTGGGGACGCCTGGGTGCCGTTTTGGGGACACTTGGGTGCCTTTGGGATCAGCTGGGACTTTTGAGGACACCTGGGGGCTGTTTTGGGGACATTTGGGGCCTTCTGGGGACACCTGGGAGCCATTTTGGGGACACTTGGGGCCTTTTGGGGACATCTGGGTGTCTTTGGGGACACCTTGGGGGCCTTTTGGGGACACCTTGGGGTCTCTAGGGACACCTAGGTGCCATTTTGGGGACACCTGGGACTTTTGAGGACACCTTGGGACCTTTGGGGACACCTGGGTGCCGTTTTGGGGACACTTGGGTGCCTTTGGGATCAGCTGGGACTTTTGAGGACACCTGGGGGCTGTTCTGGGGACATTTGGGGCCTTCTGGGGACACCTGGGAGCCATTTTGGGGACACTTGGGGCCTTTTGGGGACATCTGGGTGTCTTTGGGGACACCTTGGGGGCCTTTTGGGGACACCTTGGGGTCTCTAGGGACACCTAGGTGCCATTTTGGGGACACCTGGGACTTTTGAGGACACCTTGGGACCTTTGGGGACACCTGGGTGCCGTTTTGGGGACACTTGGGTGCCTTTGGGATCAGCTGGGACTTTTGAGGACACCTGGGGGCTGTTTTGGGGACAACTTGGGGCCTTTCGGGCAACACCTGGGGCCTTTCGGGGGACACTTTGGGTGCTTTTTTGGGGACGGTTTTTGGGGAACAATTTAGGTGCCTCTTTGGGGACAGTTTGGGGGATTTTGGGGGACACTTTAGGTGCCTTTTTGGGGAGAATTTGAGGAGTTTTGGGGGGCACCTCGGGTGTCTTTTTGGGGACAATTTTTGGGGGGACAGCTGGGTGTCCTGGGGACGCTTTGGGTGATTTTGGGGGATACTTTTGGTGCCTTTTGGGGCGTCACTTTAGGTGCCATTTCGGGGGACAGTTTGGGTTCTTTTTGGGGACACTTTTGGGTGCCTTTTGGGGTACAATTTGCCTTTTTTGGGGGGGACGCTTGGGTGCCGTTTGGGGGATGATTTGGGGTGCCAATTTGGGGAAACTTGTAGTGGTTTCGGGGGTCCCTTCAGGTGCTTTTTTTGGGCGACACCTCGGTCCTTTTGGGGGACACTTTGGGGTTTTTTAGGGGACACTTTGGGGGCTTTTTCGGGGGGATAATTCAGGTGCCTTTCGGGGGGATAATTCGGGTGCCTTTTGGGGGAGAATTTAGGTGCCTTTTTGGGTAAGATTTGGGGGATTTTGGGAGATGCTTTGAGTGCCTTTTTGGGGACAATTTTGGGGGGACAATTCGGGTGCACATTAGATGATTTTTGGGGACGTTTTGGGTGCTTTTTCGGGTGACCCCTGGGTGTTTTGGGGGACTGTTTGAGTTCTTTTTGGAGTCGCTGACTGCCTTTTTTCGAGCGGGGGAGAATTTAGGCCTTTTTGGGGGGGGGGGGGGGGGGC